TGTTTGATAAAGAATATCTCTTTGGTTTTGAGACTTTAGTCTTTGCAACTTCAGGGATCTTATCTATGCACAATCAGCTTGTAACACTCCAAAGAGAAAGGAAAACTTGAAATCGCATCATATGACCCCTTTAAATAATTATTAAAATGTATATAGGTTTTATACATTAATAGAAGAATGGCACTATGATGCAAGGTTGTCAGAATGTTGATCCAGCATGCCGGAGTAGAGCTGAAATGAATGCTGTGTGTCTGCAGCACCTGCTGGATGTGAGATCACTGAAGTATCTGAGCGGCCTGACGCTCCACGACCGCATCACCAAATCACTGCTGCATCTGCACAAGAAGAAGAAGCCTCCCAGCATCAGCGCGCAGTTCAACGTCAGCAAAACACACTGATGGAGAAATAATACTGCAGCCGTTTAAAAATAGCAACTTTTGAAATGTGTGAAATATAAAAAAATGTACATTTTAAAAATATATAAATTCAAAAATATATATTCTCTCAAAATGTTCTTTCGCAATGATTCTATATAAAACAAAAATTTAAAATTTAAAAATATATACATTGTTTTAAATATATACAGTAATTGTTTAAAAATGATGTACATTTTAAAAATATATTTTTTAAAAATAATGTATGAAATTTTTAATATATAAATTCATTATATAAAAAATATATACCTTTTTGAAATGCAAACAATAATTGTTTAAAAAAATATGCATCGGAAAAATACATCAATTATTTTCAAAATACATATTTTTTTAATTTATGAAAATTATATATTTTGAAAAATATATAAATTAAGACAATATACATTCTTTTGAAATGTATTCAACGCTTCTTTAAAAATATATAGTTTGAAAAAATCTAATAAAAAACTTTCAAAATGTATGAAATATAACTAATGTACATTTTAAAATATGAATTATTCTAAAATATACGTCCTTTTGAAATGTGTGCAGTTGTTAAAAAAATACAAAATATGTTATTTAAAAATATTTTTTTAAATGTATGAAATATACAAATTAATTCTTTTAAAAATGTACATTATCTTTGAAATGTATACAGTATTTTTTAAATATTTTTTTATATATGCATTTTAAAAATATACAAAGTATTTAAAAGTGTGTGGAATAAAAAATACCTACGTTTAAAAAATATATATATATATTATATATATATATATATATAAATTAATTATGAAAAAAAAAATATTTTGAAATATATACAGTAATTGTTTAAAAATTGTATACATTTTAAAAATGCAAAAATTACTTAGTGTACTTTTTACAAAATACATAAGATATATAAATATTTGAAAGGAGAGCTGAAAGTCCTGTTTAGTGTACTTTTTACAAAATACATAAGATATATAAATATTTGAAAGGAGAGCTGAAATCGTGTCCTGTGTGTGATGCAGGTGTCTCTGAATAAGCTGATGGAGACTCTGGGACAGTCGGAGCCGTACTTTGTGAAATGCATCCGCTCTAATGCAGAAAAGGTTCGTAATGAGTCACGTTTCTGTTTCTGCGTTACTGGATTTAGACGTGCGTTTGAGTCCCGTCTTTCTTTCGTAGCTTCCTCTGCGTTTCAGCGACGTGCTGGTGTTGAGACAGTTACGCTACAGCGGCATGCTGGAGACGGTGAGGATACGGCGCTCCGGATATAGCGTCAAATACAGCTTCCAGGTGACAAACTCAACTATAATACTACCGTTACAATTACTTCACATCAATTAATATGACCTTTTTGATAATAATATACACTTGTATAAAGTTATATATTATAGAAAATTAAAACAGACAACACAAAAATTCTGAAAAATCAATTAATTAATCAATCAATCATAGGGCCCTTTATTGTAAAAATTTTAATAATATATTAAATTGTGAAAGTTTCATGATTTCAGTTAATTATACATGCTTTTTGATTACTAAAATTTAATTAAAGCATTAAAACAGAATCCAAAAAAAAAAAATTATTGGGAATTTTTATTTTTTTTTTTACCAGAAAAATATATATTTTTTACATATAAAAAATTAAAAATTTCTAAAACGTTCAGTAAATTTTTGTTAAATTGTGTAATTTTATGATTTAAATTAATTAGACATGGTTTTTGATTACTAAAATTTAACTTAAGAATAAGTAAAAATTAAATAAAATTCAGATAAATTAAATAGAAAAATTAAAGAATTTGGGAAAAAATAAAACAGATTTCATAGGAAACACTGACACATGAACCACTTTCCTGATGTGTTTCTTCAGGATTTTGCCCATCATTTCCGTGTGCTGTTACCGGCGGGCTTTCACACCTCTCAGACGGGAATCAGACAGTTCCTGCAGAGCGTCGACCTCGAGCCCAACGGACATCAAGTGGGCCGAAGCACGGTAACACACACACTCTCTCTCTCTCTCTCACACACACTCACTCACTCACACACTCTCTTACACATACACACTCACACACACGTGTCCTGTGATGCTGAGCGCTGTGTGTGTGTGTCTCAGGTGTTCCTGCGGGAGCGTCTGCGGCAGCGTCTGCAGGAGCAGCTTCATCAGGAGGTGCTGAGGAGGATCGTGTGTCTGCAGAGGAGCTTCAGGACACAGCAGGAGAGGAGACGCTTCTGCAGACAGAGACGAGCCGCTCAACTCATACAGGTACACACTGCATTTGAGTCTCATTTTACCTGGTATTTATTCATTTTATTGGCTTATTGGCTTTTATTTTAAAAATGTGAACCACAGCATAAAATAAAATACAGGGTAATACAATAAAATCAGAACAAAATAAATACAAATGTACGATAAAGCAGTAACTCAGTAATACATTATAACACAAATGCAAATAAAAAAATCAAATAAAATGAATAGTAAAAAAAGTAAAGGGGGAGGTCAGCCAGTATGTTTTCCAAACACAGACGTCATAACTTATCAATCACATGCTATGTTAGTAACTAGTATGCAGTGTGTACAGCACAGTAATCAGTGTTGTGTGTGTTTCTGCGCTCAGCGCTGGTGGAGGGCCTGTCTGACTCGCGCTGACGCGGAGCTCCAGCAGGGGGCGGCGCTGCATCTGCAGGCGGCCTGGAGAGGTTTCAGAGAGCGCCGGCTGTTCCTGCGGCGGAGGAGAGCGGCGCTGATCATCCAGATGCGCTGGAGGAGAGTCCTGCAGACGCGACACTCGGCCGCGCGCCTCATACAGTCCGTCTGGAGGAGCCTCAGACAGAGACGCAGCTTCCTGCAGCAGCGCCGCGCCGCCGTCACGCTACAGGCCGCCTGCAGGGGGCAGCGCGAGCGCCACAGGTCAGTCAGCACCTACACCAATGCCTTTGCCAGATGTGTTTAATCAAAGAGATTGCATTGCGTTAAAGGGACAAATTTGGGTCAGTTCATGCTTTCCCTGGGATTCGAACCTGTGTACTTGAACCTAACCTTGAATAAATGTCTGCTTGTGATTATGAAACAGAGTAATCTATGATAAATGGACTAATTAAGCTTATTTATGAGAGAGATGTCTCTCATAGGTGTAGGATGAGGTGAAGAGTCATTTTTTCAGATTTGAAATATATTTATTTCCTTAAAAAAAAAAAAAAAATTAAATGTTTTTTTTTCCTTTTAGATTTTTAGCATAAAAATATTATAATTGTTATACTTTATTTATTTTTTAAATTAAATTGCATGTTATTGTAGTGATTTATAATAAGGGATGTTAATGAATCATTTATGTTAAATGGACAAATTAAGCATATTTATGAGCTATTAGTCAATTGTTTTTATAAAAATGTAGATTATATACGTAATGTATTTTTAAATATTTTATTTAATTTCTTTAAAAAAAACAGTAATATATATATATTAGCATAAAAATAATGTTGTATTTATTTTTTAAATATTTAATTTCATTTAATTTCCTTTTAAAACATAGTATTTTAGTATTTTTATTTTATATTTTTAGCATAAAATGATCTAATTGTAATTTTAGTGTTATTTATATTTATCTATTTTTTCCCCTACTTTATTAATTATTATATTAAAAATGTAAATTATATATGTAGATGTCTCTCATAGGTGTAGGATGAGGTGAAGTAATTATTTTCAGATTTGAAAAATATTTCCTTTATAAAAATTGTATTTTATTTTTTTTTTTAATGTTTTTTTTTCTTTTAGATTTTTAGCATAAAAATATTATAATTGTTATACTATATTTTAATTTTTTTATTGTTTATCTATTATTGTAATGATTTATAATAAAGGATGTTAATGAATCAATTATGATAAATGGACAAATTAAACATATTTATGAGCTATTAGTCATTTCTTAATAAATATGTAGATTATATATGTAGATGTATTTTTTTCAATATTTTATTCAATTTCTTTTTTTAAAAATAGTAAGAGATTTTTAGCATAAAAATAATGTTATACTTTATTAAAATATTTTATTTAATTTCCTTTTAAAAACAAAATGGTATTTTAGTATTTTTATTTTAGAGTTTTAGCATCAAAATAATCTAATTGTTATACTTTATTTTAGTTCTATTGATCTATTTTTTCCTCACTTGATTAATTTACTATTAGTCAATGTTATATTAAAAAAGTAATGCATATATGTAGATGTCACTCATAGGTCTAGGATGAGATGAAGAGTCTTTGTTTTTATTGTTTTTAATAGCATTTTATATTTTAGTATTAAAAATATAATAAATAAAATACAAAAATTAAAATTAAAACGATGAAAATGAATCTCATTGGTCCAAAATCTCTCTCCACATCTTTTAGACACCAGCTATGTTCTGATTGGCTAGTGGTTTTGCGTTGACTAATCTGATTGGACAGTCGACGTTTGGAGAGTGTTGATGTTTCGTCTGTTTGTTCCACTTTTGCGATTTCCTATTGGAACTATTTTGGTTGCTAAAGCAAAAATAAACATAAGAGGTGTCCATAAATCGTCTTAATATGTACTTGATTTTTTTTTTATTAAAGAAAAGCACATAAGCATCTCAAGGCACAATACAAGTATCAAACTGTTATAGAATTAAGAAAGTATGAAGCAAGCATGATAAATGTCCACATAACGATGAACATATAGTCACAATAATATAAGCATTAGTGCTGTCAAACGATTAATCGCATCCAAAATAAACGTTTTTGCTTGCATAATATATGTACGTGTACTGTGTATATTAATTATGCATTTACAAATACACACACATGCATGTATATATTTAAAAAAAAAGTTATTTTTATATATTAAATATATTTATTTATAATATAAATTATATTATATGAATAAAAATGTATTGAATATATATAAATATAGACATGCAAATACATTCAAAATATATACTATGCATGTGTGTGTATTTGTATGTACATAATAAATATACACACATATATTATTCAAACTAAAACCTTTATGTTGGTTGCGATTAATCGTTTGACAGCACTAATAAGCATACAAATAAACATCTAAATAGGCAAGAAGAAAATAATAAATAAATAAATATTTTCTTGATTTATCAAACATCTAGTTTATGTCCTTATTGGATGAAAGTGTCATAAATGTATGTTGTTTTTTCCCAAGGTGCCGCATTCTTCGAGAGCAGCGACGTGGAGAGAAAAGCCTCTGTGAAAACACTGTGAGCAAAAGTTTACACGCCCAACAAAACCCACCCGAAGTCCAAGAGGAGAGAGGAGAAACTCAGTCCGCCGAACCTCTCAGAAGCGTAGACGACAGTACGCTGAAGAGCCGCTCCAAACGCCAAAGCAGGAGGCAGCGGGAGCTCCAGCAAGCCACCTTCAGTTTAGAGCTGCTCAAAGTGCGCTCCGCTTCAGTGGACGACGCGCTTCCCGCTCCGAGCCCTCTCTCCAGACATCTTCCCTCGGAGAGCCAGGGAAGCTTCGAGCTCCTCGGCTGTCCCGAACCCGAGCCGATGGAGGAGAACCAGAGCAGTCTGGCCTCCTTCAAACCTCACTTCTACATCGCAGATGAGGACAGCAGCCCGGTCAAGCAAGCTCGGGAGAAAAAGGAGTCCGTTGTGGTCATAATCCGCATGCAGAAGGAGATCCCTGTGGACCAAAGCAGCCTGGAAGCTCTGCAGAAACACGAGACGATGGACGCTGAGGAGATTCACAGAGAAACCGGCGACAGATCGAATGGCTCGTCTTCTCCAGATCCTCCTGAGCCTCAAACCATCGCGCCTCGTTCTTCCAAACCCCTCCAGCTGGACTCGAGGGACTCGGTTCGAGAAGTGGCTTCAGAGCCCAAGAAGGAGGTTCAGAAGAAGTTCGTAGCTCAGAGCATCAGTATGAAGGAGAAAGCCTTCTCTCCCAAACGCAGCCGACTGACCTTCTCCAAGTGAGTTCACGTCAAGATTAGGGATGTAACGATTCACTCAACTCACGATTCGATTAAAGCAATAAGCCCCGTGAAGCCAGTGAATTTATAACAGCTAAGAGGCGTTGTTAGATGTGCAGCGGAGTGCCTAAAACCCCCTCAGCTGTTATAAATTCACTGTAAACCACGGCTTCACGGGGCTTTGTAAAATAACAAAATGTAACAAAGTTACATTGTCATTCAGTGTAACACAATATTTATGTAAAAAATTCAAACACAACATGCTTATTCTGACGTGTGCATATTAAAATATGTAAAATAATAAGTGAGCATATTAAATTTGATTGTGTTTTAAATGAGTAAAAAATTCTTGCTGACAAACAGGCGAAACCTAGGATAGTGGCAAATCCTTTAAAAATTTAAAATTACAACTAATTAGTATTTGGGGTGAAACTAATTAGTCTTGATTTTTGTTGTAAATATGCCTGAGAAGATTGTTACACTGAATTACATTTTAGTGGGTCTCTTCTGTAAATCAGGGGAAAAATTTATGATATTTATTTTTTGCTCGGAAATACAAAAACAAAAGTGCAATTAAATTAAACTGAAAATGTTTACATTTTTTTTAGGAAAAACAACAACAATTTAAAGCAGTATTACACTTATTGTTTTTATGCGTAAACCCTTTTTCGTCTTTGACCCGTCAACGTTGCTTGGTGATTTTGCTCATTGCGATGCAGCACGGGTCACTTTTGCGTGCCCTTGTTTTGATCTTTAGCGTCTGATGCAGTGACATTCAGACATGTTCAGGTGTTTTTGGTTGTGGTCATGTGGGTCGATCCGCTCTGCTGTGTGTTTTAGGTCGGATAAAGACCTGGTTAATCAGGAACGATCACAGGCGATCCAAAGAGAGGCAGGATTCAGATCGGTAAAAAACAGAGAGGTGAGGAACTTTATTTGTTCAGAATTTTTAATTGCAGAAGCATTTCTTTTTTTTTTTTTCAATTTTGAAATACTAAATTTTCAATAATTTAGTTTTTGTATTATTTAAAAAAAAA